ATCAGGGTTTTACTCTCTGTCTAATGCTCCGGTAGTTCATCTCCAACGCTTCTAGCCAAATGCGCCATGAAATCCCATTAACGTGATGCCTCAGTGAGAACATCAGTAAGAGCCGTGAGGAGGATTTGAACCCACACACTTGAAACTCCAAAGCCCAGGCTATTGCGTGCCTGCTTCGAATCCTCCCCACGGCCCTAATTGATGCATCATGCGAGTTCATTGTACAAAGCTGCTACTGTTATTATAATGACTATTGGGCACGGGGCAACATGTCATCAACTGGAAATAGTAGAGACTACTCGCTATTAGTAAACAATGACTGACAAGGAGCAGAGAAATAGTGTCACATTATTATGGCAAACTCCTACGCTTCCCAAACACTGTACCTACCTCGCAAGGACTTTGGCAAGCACTAATGCAATGTTAAAGCTTCATGAATTCACAAATGTATTCATAAAACTACACAAACGATTCAAACGGGACGCAGAAGTTGCCAAATTTGTCTCTGTGACCTCGGAAAGTTGCCTTGGAAGGTCATGGGGTTGCCTTAGAGGGAAGGGCCGCCTCCTCGGCCAGCCCGACCTCCTAAGGTCCTTCCAACGCCAAGAAAACGTCAATTTAAAGTGGTCTCCTAACCTGCCAGAGAACCCAAAACAAAAAACGGGACATTATGTCACTTTCGCCAGCCGCTTCCATTTTCTACCGCGACAATTTTTGGCCGTAAGTGACGCAAACGTGCGAAAAGCGACGTTCGTTATAGGAGGACAGGTTGTAGCAGGACAGGTTGTAGGAGGACAGGCTGTAGGAGGACAGGTTGTAGGAGGACAGGCTGTAGGAGGACAGGTTGTAGGAGGACAGGTTGTAGGAGGACAGGTTGTAGGAGGACAGGTTGTAGGAGGCCAGGTTACAGGAAGACAGGTTGTAGGAGGACAGGATGTAGGAGGACAGGCTGTAAGAGGACAGGTTGTAGGAGGACAGGTTGCAGGAGGACAGGTTGTAGGAGGACAGGTTACAGGAGGACAGGTTGTAGGAAGACAGGTTGTAGGAAGACAGCCTGTAGGAGGACAGGTTGTAGGAGAACAGGTTGTAGGAGGACAGGTTGTAGGAGGACAGGTTGTAGGAGGACAGGTTGTAGGAAGACAGGCTGTAGAACAGGTTGTAGGAGGACAGGTTGTAGAACAGGTTGTAGGAGGACAGGTTGTAGGAGGACAGGTTGCAGGAGGACAGGTTGCAGGAGGACAGGTTGCAGGAGGACAGGTTGTAGGAGGACAGGTTGTAGGAGGACAGGTTGTAGGAGGACAGGTTGTAGGAGGACAGGTTGCAGGAGGACAGGTTGTAGGAGGACAGGTTGTAGGAGGACAGGTTGCAGGAGGACAGGTTGTAAGAGGACAGGATATAGGAGGACAGGTTGTAGGAGGACAGGTTCGCCTGGCATCACCCGTTGCTGATCTTCCCCTGGATCCGGATTCACCAAGCATTTACGCAACCACTTACGAAAGCTGTACATCTTTTCTTAATTATCGCGGCTTTCTTTACATTTATTAAACAGTTTACACAAGCTCTGAAGCACTAGAAGGTTGTTTATAATAACCTCGGAGTGTTTTGTAAAGTCTTGAGACTTAAGTCGTCATGACCGAGGGAAGATGTACAGGTGGACTTGCGTAATGCTTCAAGGAAGGAAGGTCTGAAATTATTTATAATGTGGCAATCACTGACTAAAATCTTGAGGTGTAAAGTGTAGGACTCAGGACTGGGTACATGTAGAGTGCTCAGGACTGGGGTGCATGTAGAGTGCTCAGGACTGGGGTGTATGTAGAGTGCTCAGGACTGGGTACATGTAGAGTGCTCAGGACTGGGTACATGTAGAGTGCTCAGGACTGGGTACATGTAGAGTGCTCCGGACTGGGGTGCATGTAGAGTGCTCAGGACTGGGGTACATGTAGAGTGCTCAGGACTGGGGTGCATGTAGAGTGCTCAGGACTGGGGTACATGTAGAGTGCTCAGGACTGGGTACATGTAGAGTGCTCAGGACTGGGGTACATGTAGAGTGCTCAGGACTGGGTACATGTAGAGTGCTCAGGACTGGGGTACATGTAGAGTGCTCAGGACTGGGGTACATGTAGAGTGCTCAGGACTGGGGTGCATGTAGAGTGCTCAGGACTGGGGTACATGTAGAGTGCTCAGGACTGGGGTGCATGTAGTGCTCAGGACTGGGTACATGTAGAGTGCTCAGGACTGGGGTGCATGTAGAGTGCTCAGGACTGGGTACATGTAGAGTGCTCAGGACTGGGTGCATGTAGAGTGCTCAGGACTGGGTACATGTAGAGTGCTCAGGACTGGGGTGCATGTAGAGTGCTCAGGACTGGGTGTATGTAGAGTGCTCAGGACTGGGGTACATGTAGAGTGCTCAGGACTGGGTACATGTAGAGTGCTCAGGACTGGGGTGCATGTAGAGTGCTCAGGACTGGGTACATGTAGAGTGCTCAGGACTGGGTGTATGTAGAGTGCTCAGGACTGGGGTGCATGTAGAGTGCTCAGGACTGGGGTACATGTAGAGTGCTCAGGACTGGGTACATGTAGAGTGCTCAGGACTGGGTGTATGTAGAGTGCTCAGGACTGGGTGTATGTAGAGTGCTCAGGACTGGGGTGCATGTAGAGTGCTCAGGACTGGGGTACATGTAGAGTGCTCAGGACTGGGGTGCATGTAGAGTGCTCAGGACTGGGGTGCATGTAGAGTGCTCAGGACTGGGTACATGTAGAGTGCTCAGGACTGGGGTGCATGTAGAGTGCTCAGGACTGGGTACATGTAGAGTGCTCAGGACTGGGGTGCATGTAGAGTGCTCAGGACTGGGTACATGTAGAGTGCTCAGGACTGGGTGTATGTAGAGTGCTCAGGACTGGGGTGCATGTAGAGTGCTCAGGACTGGGGTGCATGTAGAGTGCTCAGGACTGGGGTGCATGTAGAGTGCTCAGGACTGCATGCACGCAGTTAGCATTAGAGGCGTTGCCGGAAACGAGAGGTGTAGCGGCAGGCACCAACATGCTCAGGCAACGCGCCCACATGTCTAGAACACAGCCGCTGATAACGTCACCCTCACATGTTGCCACTCGCCACATGCTGATAGCGTCACCCCTCACATGTTGTCACTCGCCACATGCTGATAATTGCAACATACTCTATAACCCAGCGAGGCGGAACATGCGTTCTTTTTTGTCCAGGTGGTTGGAAAACTGCTGAGAAAATTGTTCCATGGTCATGATGACTGGAAGACGTGAAGCTGTAGAACAGCATGATGTATACACTATACACACAGCATGACCGTAGAACACTATACACACAGCATGATCGTAGAACACTATACACACAGCATGATCGTAGAACACTATACACACACAGCATGACTGTAGAACACTATACACACAGCATGACCATAGAACACTATACACACAGCATGATCGTAGAACACTATACACACAGCATGACCGTAGAACACTATACACACAGCATGACCGTAGAACACTATACACACAGCATGATCGTAGAACACTATACACACACAGCATGACCATAGAACACTATACACACAGCATGACCGTAGAACACTATACACACAGCATGACCGTAGAACACTATACACACAGCATGACCGTAGAACACTATACACACAGCATGACCGTAGAACACTATACACACAGCATGACCATAGAACACTATACACACAGCATGACCGTAGAACACTATACACACAGCATGACCGTAGAACACTATACACACAGCATGACCGTAGAACACTATACACACAGCATGACCATAGAACACTATACACACAGCATGACCGTAGAACACTATACACTCAGCATGACCGTAGAACACTATACACACAGCATGACCGTAGAACACTATACACACAGCATGATCGTAGAACACTATACACACACAGCATGACCATAGAACACTATACACACAGCATGACCGTAGAACACTATACACACAGCATGACCGTAGAACACTATACACACAGCATGACCATAGAACACTATACACACAGCATGACCATAGAACACTATACACACAGCATGACCGTAGAACACTATACACACAGCATGATCGTAGAACACTATACACACAGCATGACCATAGAACACTATACACACAGCATGACCGTAGAACACTATACACACAGCATGACTGTAGAACACTATACACACAGCATGACCGTAGAACACTATACACACAGCATGACCGTAGAACACTATACACACAGCATGACCGTAGAACACTATACACACAGCATGATCGTAGAACACTATACACACAGCATGACCGTAGAACACTATACACACAGCATGACCGTAGAACACTATACACACAGCATGACCGTAGAACACTATACACACAGCATGACCGTAGAACACTATACACACAGCATGACCGTAGAACACTATACACACAGCATGACCGTAGAACACTATACACACAGCATGACCGTAGAACACTATACACACAGCATGACCGTAGAACACTATACACTCAGCATGACCGTAGAACACTATACACACAGCATGACTGTAGAACACTATACACACAGCATGACCGTAGAACACTATACACACAGCATGACCGTAGAACACTATACACTCAGCATGATCGTAGAACACTCTAAGTACCTGACACGTTATTCCTGACACACTGGTCCGTACAGTTCCACATTGGAACAATAATGTCCCTTATCCGTTATCAAAATAACGAATAACGGGCAAGTAGTACCGGACCAGCCAGGCTGTGGTGGATATGTGGGCCTGCTGCAAGCAACAGCCTGTTGGACCAAGTTATCACAAGTCAAGCCTGGCCTCAGGCTGGGTTCTGGGAGTTCTTCTACTCCCCAAGCCCGACCCGAGGCCAGGCTCGACTTGTGAGAGTTTGGTCCACCAGGCTGTTGCTTGGAGCGGCCCGCAGACTGGCCCCGAGTGGGGGCACCATGCCCCGGGTATGTACTGACCTTGAAGGGCGCATATCGGGCATGTCTCGGACTTGAAGAGGCAGGAGTAGCACCTCTCGTGGCCGCACTGGTCGATCAGCTTCCTCTTCTTGCCCTTGTCGAACGGCATCCTGCAGTTAGGGCAGATGCCTCCCTCTCGGAACTTGGCGTAGATATCTGCCGACACAACAACATTGTTACACATCCGACCAGCCACATATAAATATTGACATGTATATATGTGTGTATATCACGAAAATAAACACGTGATTAAGAATGTGACAATGTCAGACCACGGAGGAAAATGAAACAGGAATTTCCTTAAGTACTTTCGTATATTAAATACATCTTCAGATGTATAAATACATCTTCATCTTCATCTTCATCTTAAATACATCTTCATCTTCAGAATATTCCTTCTGAAGATGTATTTAATATACGAAAGTACTTAAGGAAATTCCTGTTTCATTTTCCTCCGTGGTCTGACATTGTCACATGTATATATATATATATATATATTTTATGAGTTCTGGAGAACTCCTCTTTCAGCTAAGCCCTGATGCTAGGAAAATAGTTAGAGGGATAAAAGCCCTAAATCAGAAGATAGTAAATACAGAACATGCTGTCATATTCAATGAGATATAGTTTTGCATGTATAAATAAAATTACGCATGCACACACAGTTGCTCAGTAGACGGGCTGAGTGGACAGCGCTTGGGGATCGTTGTCCTAAGGGCCCGGGTTCGATTACCGGCGAAGGCAGAAACAAATGAGCAGAGTTTGTTTCACCTGATGCCCCCCTGTTCACCTAGCAGTAAATAGGTACCCGTGGTTACATGCACGAGTGACTGTAGGCAGCTCTATATAAACACCCTGGAAGCCATCATTACCTTACGGGCTCACCATAGCCCGTGCTACTTGAACTTCTTATTCTGAGCAGCTGAATCTAAAACAACAACAACAATCATTAGCACACAAGTTTCAGCCCCGCTCCTGTGCCAGGTAAGTCCATCACGGGCTCACCATAGCCCGTGCTACTTGCAACTTTTAATTCCCAGTAGCTGAATAACCAACGAGGGTTGCTACCTTGTAGTTACCTTGTGTAGGTTTCGGGGCTTAGTGTCCCTGCGGCCCGGTTCTCGACCAGGCCTCCTCGTTGCTGGACTGGTCAGCCAGGCTGTTGGACGCATGACGTATGAATCACAGCCTGGTTGATCAAGTATTCTTTGGAGATGTTTATCAAGTTCTCACCTGAGCCTCCAGGTGCTCCAGGGTTGCAACCATTAGCAACTCACCTCATCGCTCGACCCGCGACCATGCAAATGTTGACTTGTTGCATGTCATTCTAATCTTCTCCTGCTCCCCACAATTGAATAAACTAAAAAGACTAAGTGAACTAGCACGACAAGGGAGCACAAGGGAGCCGAGCGGACAGCACGCTGGACTTGTGATCCTGTGGTCCTGGGTTCGATCCCAGGCGCCGGCGTGAAACAATGGGCAGAGTTTCTTTCACCCTATGCCCCTGCTACCTGGCAGTAAAATAGGTACCTGGGTGTTAGTCAGCTGTCACGGGCTGCTTCCTGGGGGTGGAGGCCTGGTCGAGGACCGGGCCGCGGGGACACTAAAAAGCCCCGAAATCATCTCAAGATAGACCTCACCCTTTAATTGGTAACTGGGAAGCATTCATGGCAAGTTCTGTCTCGTCTCCACTCCCTTGAGGGAGAGTGACAGCTCCCGCCCCCCGTGATTGACAGTGACAACTCTTTCTCCTCGTGATTGACAGTGACAGTCTTCCTGGGCGTGTCAGGGCGACCTGTCCTCACCGTGAATGCATACCAATTTCGATGCTATCGACCACAGCCTCAACATTCTGGTGCTTTAGTGAAATCAAAAGCAGTGTAACACTGACGTTTCGCGAGAATACTGAGCATGAGGCTTGGAGAGGTTACGCTGATTGTTTAGGTCTGTGATGATGGTTTAAGTGTTAAGTAGTCAGGTTGTTAAGGCTTCTTGAGCGTCTTGTATAACGACTCTGGGATACACAGTCTCGACTGCTCCATATCTCACAGAAATTACATTATTGTGAGAACTATCTTACAGAAACTTTAACAAGATTAAGTGTTGCTGATCAATCTTTGAGGACAGATCCTTAATTGAAAGCTAACTTGATAAGTTCTCTTCTTAATTATGAAACTCAATTAATCCTCTTAATGAAACCAAGTCACGTCACTCTGAGCACCACACACGCACACGCACACACACACACACACACACAGTGTGTGTGTGTGTGTGCGCACACAGTATCCCTCGAGGAGGGATACCGAAACCAAAAGGTTAGCATACCGAAAGGGAAACTATGAGGGGATAAGAAAATTCCTAACAGATATAGCATGGGAAACAGAGCTCAGGGGAAAGACGGCCCAAGATATGATGGATTACATCACGCAGAAGTGCAAGGACGCAGCAAACAAGTTTGTCCCAGTCCAAAAGGAAAACAGAGAAATGAAGATGAGAAACCCATGGTTTAATCAAAGATGTAGGCTAGCTAAGCAGCAAAGTAAAAGGGCATGGAGAAACTATAGGAATAACAGGACACTGGAGAGCAGAGAAAGATACCAGAATGCCAGGAATGAATATGTCAGGATGAGAAGAGAGGCAGAAAGACAATACGAAAATGACATCGCAAGCAAGGCAAAGACTCAGCCTAAATTGTTGCATAGCCACATTAGGAGAAAAACAACAGTAAAGGAACAGGTTATGAGATTAAGGATAGGGGCGGAAGGTTTCACTACAAATGACAAGGAAGTGTGTGAGGAATTGAATAAGAAATTCCAGGAGGTCTTCACCTTAGAACAAGGAGAAATTCCAGAGGTAAGTGAGGGAATAGCTAACCAGGAACCACTGGAAGAGTTTGAGATTACCAGTGGGGAAGTAAGGAAGTGTTTACTAGAGTTGGACGTGACGAAGGCTATAGGCCCAGATGGAATCTCCCCTTGGGTTCTAAAGGAAGGAGCAAGAGAACTGAGCCTACCACTCTCCATAGTGTATAACAAATCACTGGCAACAGGGGAACTGCCAGATATTTGGAAAGCAGCTAACGTAGTCCCGATATACAAGAAAGGGGATAGACAGGAGGCACTGAACTACAGGCCAGTGTCCCTAACCTGCATACCATGCAAGCTGATGGAGAAGATTGTGCGAAAAAAACTAGTGGAGCATCTGGAGCGAAGGAACTTTGTAACACAGCATCAACATGGGTTCAGGGATGGCAGGTCCTGCCTCACAGGGTTACTTGAATTCTACGACCAGGCAACAAAAATAAGGCAAGAAAGAGAAGGGTGGGCAGACTGCATATTTTTGGATTGTCAGAAAGCCTTTGATACAGTGCCACACAAGAGGCTAGTGCGAAAGTTGGAGATGCAGGCTGGAGTGAGAGGGAAGGTACTCCGGTGGATAGAGGAATACCTAAGCAACAGGAGACAACGAGTCTGTGTGAGGGGTGAGGTCTCAGATTGGCGAGACGTCACAAGTGGAGTCCCGCAGGGGTCAGTCCTTGGACCTATACTGTTTCTGGTATATGTAAATGATCTCCCAGAGGGTATAGATTCGTTCCTCTCAATGTTTGCCGACGATGCAAAAATTATGAGGAGGATTGAAACAGAGGATGATAGTAGGAGGCTACAAGATGACCTGGATAGACTGAGTGAATGGTCCAACAAATGGCTGTTGAAGTTCAACCCGAGTAAATGCAAAGTAATGAAACTAGGCAGTGGAAACAGGAGGCCAGGCACAGGATACAGAATAGGAGATGAAGTACTTAATGAAACAGAGAGAAAGATCTAGGAGTTGATATCACACCAAACCTGTCTCCTGAAGCCCACATAAAGAGAATAACGTCTGCGGCATATGCGAGGCTGGCTAACATCAGAACGGCGTTCAGGAACCTGTGTAAGGAATCATTCAGAATCTTGTACACCACATATGTAAGACCAATCCTGGAGTATGCGGCCCCAGCATGGAGCCCGTACCTTGTCAAGCACAAGACGAAGCTGGAAAAAGTCCAAAGGTATGCTACTAGACTAGTCCCAGAACTAAGAGGCATGAGTTATGAGGAAAGGCTGCGGGAAATGCACCTCACGACACTGGAAGACAGAAGAGTAAGGGGGGACATGATCACAACCTACAAAATCCTCAGGGGAATCGACCGGGTAAACAAGGATGAACTTTTCAACACTGGTGGGACGCGAACAAGGGGACACAGGTGGAAGCTGAGTACCCAAATGAGCCACAGAGACGTTAGAAAGAACTTTTTCAGTGTCAGAGTAGTTAGCAAATGGAATGCATTAGGAAGTGATGTGGTGGAGGCTGACTCCATTCACAGTTTCAAATGTAGATATGATAGAGCCCAATAGGCTCAGGAATCTGTACACCAGTTGATTGACGGTTGAGAGGCGGGACCAAAGAGCCAGAGCTCAACCCCCGCAAGCACAATTAGGTGAGTACACACACACACACACACACACACACACACACACACACACACACACACACACACACACACACACACACACACACACACACATACAGAATCATTCCTCTCATTGTTTGCCGATGATGCAAAAATTATGTGGAGGATTAAGACGGAGGAAGACAGTAGGAGGCTACAAGATGACCTAGACAGACTGCATGAATGGTCCAACAAATGACTACTAAAGTTCAACCCGAGTAAATGTAAGGTAATGAAACTAAGCAATGGAAAAAGGAGGCCAGACACAGGATACAGAATGGGAGATGAAGTCCTTCATGAAACAGACAGAGAGAAAGATCTAGGAGTTGATATCACACCAAACCTGTCTCCTGAAGCCCACATCAAAAGAATAACATCTGCGGCGTATGCGAGGCTGGCTAACATCAGAACAGCCTTCAGGGACCTGTGTAAGGAATCATTCAGAACCTTGTATACCACATATATAAGACCAATCCTGGAGTATGCGACCCCAGCATGGAGCCCGTACCTTGTCAAGCACAAGGCGAAGCTTGAAAAAGTTCAGAGATATGCCACTAGGCTAACCCCAGAACTAAGAGGCAGGAGTTACGAAGAAAGGCTGCGAGAAATGCACCTCACGACACTAGAAGACAGAAGAGTAAGGGGAGACATGATCACTACCTACAAAATT